AAAATAGGAATAGAAGGGAAATTCCTCAATATAATTAAGGGCATTTATACAAAGCCAACAGACAACATCATCCTAAATGGAGAGACTTTGAAAGCATTCCCCTTGAGAACAGGAACCAGACAAGGATGCTCTTTATCACCACTCGTATTCAACATTGTGCTGGAGGTCCCAGCCACAGAAATTAGGCTAGAAAAATAAATAAAGCGCATCCAAATTGGTAGGGAAGAAGTCAAAGTATCTCTGTTTGCAGATGGTATGATCTTATATGCAGAAAACCCCAAAGAATCCACATGAAAACTACTGGAACTAATAGAAGATTTTAACACTGTATCAGGATAGAAGATAAACATACAAACATCAGTTAGATTCCTTTACACCAACAAAGAGAATTTCAAAGAGGATATCACTAGATCAATACCATTTACAATCGCCCCCAAGAAGATAAAATACCTAGGAATAAATCTAACCAAAGACGTAAAAAGTCTGTGCAATGAAAACTACAAGACACTAATGCAAGAAATCAAAAGAGACCTGCATAAGTGGAAAAATGTACCTTGCTCGTGGATAGGAAGACTCAACATTGTGAAAATGTCAGGTCTACCTAAAGCGATGTACAGATGCAATGCAATCCCAATCCAAATTCCAACAGCATTATTTAATGAGATGTAGAAACAAATCACCAACTTCATATAAAAAGGGAAGAGGCCCCAGATAAGTAAAGCATTACTCAAGAAGAAGAAAAAGTGGGCGGCCTCACACTACCTGATTTTAGAACTTATTATACTGCCATGGTAGTCAAAACAGCCTGGTACGTGTACAAAAACAGACACAGAGACCAATGGAACAGAATTGAGAATCCAGACATAAATTCATCCACCTATGAGCAGCTGACACTTGACAAAGGCCCAAAGCCCATTAACTGAGGAAGAAACAGTCTCTTTAACAATTGGTGCTGACATAACTGGATATCCATCTGCAAAACACTGAAACAAGACCCATACATCACACCATGCACAAAAACTAACTCAAAATGGAAAGACTTAAATATAAAACTGAAAACGATAAAGATCATGGAAGAAAAAATAAGGACAATGCTAGGAGCTCTAATACATGGCATAAACAGAATACGAACCATAAGTAACAATGCACAAACACCAGAAGAGAGACTAGATAACTGGGAGCTAAAAATCCTAACTAAAAATCAATCACTTATGCTCATCAAAAGACTTCACCAAAAGAGTAAAAGACAACCTTACAGACTGGGAAAAAATTTTTGGCTACGACAAATCCGATCAGTATCTAATCTCTAAAATCTACAAGATACTACAAAACCCCAACAACAAAAAGACAAATAACCAAACAAATAGTGGGCAAAGGCTACGAACAGACATTTCACCAAAGAAGTTATTCAGGCGGCTAACAGACACATGAAGAAATGCTCACAATCCATTAGAGAAATGCAGATCAAAACTACAATGAGGTATCATCTCAGCCCAACAAGGTTAGCATTGATGCAAAAAACACAAAATAATAAATGCTGGAGAGGTTGTGGAGAGACTGGAACACTTATACACTGTTGGTGGGAATATAAAATGGTATAACCACTTTGGAAATCAATTTGGTGCTTCCTTAAAAAGCTAGAAATAGAAGTACCATACGATCCAGCTACCCCAGTCCTTGGAATATATCCTAGAGAAATAAGAACCATCACACGAATAGATATATACACACCCATGTTCATTGTGGCACTGTTCACAGTAGCAAAAATATGGAAACAACCTAGATGCCCATCAGTGGATGAATGGATAAACAAATTATGGTATACCCACACAATGGAATACTATCCAACGATAAAGAACAACTATGAAGCCGTGAAACATAACATGGATGACTCTGGAGGGCGTTATGCTGAGTGAATTTAGTCAGTCACAGAAGGACAAATATTGTATAAGACCACTATTATAAGGACTCAAGAAAAGGTTTAAACACAGAAGAAAACTTTCTTTGATGGTGATGAGGGTGGGGAGGGAGGGAGAGAAGGGTATTTACTAACTAAATAGTACACAAGAATTATCTTAGGTGAAGGGAAGGACAGCACACACTACAGGGGAAGTCAGCACAACTGGACTAAACCTAAGCTAAGAAGTTTCGTGAATACAATCAAACACTTTGATGGACAGAGTAGCAGGCGTAAGGGTCTGGGGACCAAGCTTTCAGGGGACATCTAGGTCAATTGGCATAACAAAGCTTATTAAGAAAATATTCTGCGTCCTACTTTGCGGCATGGCATCTGGGGTCTTAAAAGCTTGCAAGCGGCCATCTAAGATGCATCAATTGGTCCCAACCACCTGGCGTAAAAGAGAATGAAGAACACCAAAGACACAAGGAAAGTAGTAGCCCAAGAGACAGAAAGGGCCACATAAACCAGAGACTTCATCAGCCTGAGACCAGAAGAACTAGATGATGCCTGGCTACCACCAATGATTGCCCTGACAGGGAACACAACAGAGAGTCTCTGATGGGGCAGGAGAAAGGTGGGGTGCCGAACTCAAATTCTAGTAAGAAGACCAGATTTAATGGTCTGACTGAGACTGGAGGAACCCCAGAAAGCATGGCCCCCAGATTCTCTATCAGCCCAGGACTAAAACAATTTCAGAGGCCAACTTCAGACAGGGATTGAACTGGACTGTGGGACATAAAGTCATACTCGTGAGGAGTGTGCCTCTTAGCTCAAGTAGATACAAGAGACTAAACGGGCAGCTCCTGTCCGGAGGTGAGATGAGAAGGCAGAGAGGGTCAGAAGCTGGTTGAATATGGACATGGGGAATCAGGGATGGAAAGGAAGAGTGTGCTGTCACAGTATGGGGAGAGCAATTAGGGTCACATAACAATGTATGTATAAATTTTTGTATGGGAGACTAACTTGAAATGTAAACTTCATTTAAACTACAACAAAAAATAAAACATGGTTTCATCAAGTCACCATCTGAGTCTCAGTTTCCTCATTAATTAGACTCTCTCTCTGGTTCCTTCTTCCAGAACTCTATGGTTCCACTCCACAGAGCAAGAGGAAAAAGCCCAGGTCTGCCAGCTCAGAGCAAAAGGCCCTTGATCTAGGCCAGCCTCCTTGCCAGCCACTTTTTTTCTCATTGCCATCGAGTCAGTTTTGACTGATAGCGACCCTGTAGCATGGAGTAGAACTGTCCCATAGGGTTTCCAAGGCTGTGACATTTACGGAAGCCGACTGCACATCTTTCTCCTGCAGAGTAGCTGGTGCGTTAGAATTGCCGACCTTTTGTTTGGCAGCCAAGCACTTAACCACTGAGCCACCAGAGCGTCTTCTCGCCAGCCATACTTCCCCCAGTTGCCTTCAGGGGCATATTCATGTTGTCTGTGCTGTTTGCTGAGCCAGCAAGGCCATTTCTGAGTTCTATGTCTTTGAATATACAATCCCTTCTTAGAATACTTTTCTTCTCTTTCTCCCTTGGAAAGTAGCACCTTCTCTGCAAAGCCTTTTTGACTCCCCCAAGAGTCACTCTTTGTTTCTCCGCATTACCCTGGTTATGCCTCTTCTACAACAATTACAGCACTAAATGCAATGATCTTATTCATATAGACCATGTGCTCTGTGAATTTCCTGGGTTAGAACTGTGGCGTGCATATTGAAGGTGCTTAATAGGTACTTGATAAATGTATGAGTGAGTGGATAAATGAACAGGCTGCAATTCTTCTGAGTCTCTCTGGGACTTCCCCATAAGCTCCAGAGACTTACTCATATCTACATCAACTTGAAGCTGGTCATTTTGCTCATCTTGTTGTTGTGTGCCGTTGAGTCAATTCTGACTCAGAGCAACCCTATAGGACAGAGTAGAACTGTCCCATGAGGTTTCCTAGGCTGTAATCTTTAGGAGAACAGATTGCCAGGTTTTTTCTCCTTTGGAGCCTTTGGTAGGTTTGAACTGCTGACCTTTCAGTTAGCAGCCGAGCGCTTAACCATTGCACCAGTAGTGCTCCTTTCTGTATAGCTAGGGACCAGGATTTCTTCAGGACTTATCCCAGACCCAGGCTCCTCTCAATAGTATGCTCTTCCTTCCTTCTTATAAACAAGCACCTTTCACCAGTTCTCATTCCTGGAATAGGGAAGAAAGTCATTAAACCTAGTCCACACACGCAGTGCCTTGAGACCACTCAGGTACTATCCATATTGAGGGAAGGCAGGTGAGCGTCAAAGGAGAGAAGGGAAGGTTATTGGAATTCTGGCTGATCAAAGCTGGACTGGTAAATGTAAAAGGGGCAGGGTCTTTGCATTCTCTTCTAGCAACGACTACAGCATGATATGGGAAATAAACGAGAGGAGATTAAAGGTGGAAATGTGTTTCACTGCTATCAACTTTGTCGTACAGAACTCTGGTTAAGGACACAACGTGAATTACCCTCAAGCAACGTGAACATCCTGCAGGTAAGTACCAGGTAATGCTTTGGAAATGCAAACATTGCACAACACATTTCCCAAAGATACTCTCCTCCCACAATGTTCATGCAGCAAACCAGGTTCCCAGCTTTTTTTTAAATCTGTTCTAAGATGCTTCTCTATCTTCCATGAAATTGCAACATCAGGGAACCACGATGGCCAGTGCCTAGTCACACTGTACTAGCCACAGCAGGACCACCAGTGGGCGGCCGTGGGCAGCAAGCCCTGCCTTTGGTACTTGGCATTCCAAGAGCTGGAATTCTACATTCAAATCTGCCCTCTAGGCACCCAAGGGATTAGCCTAGCACTTTGAGGCAATGAGGTTAAATTATTAAAAGCAAAGGCTAGAAATGGCAAATGTTTTGTTTTGTATATTTTTACCTCAATTAAAAAAAAAAAAAATGAAGGATTGAGTCCAGTACCCCTGGGCTTAAATTTAAGCTCTGCTGTTTTCTATCTGATGAGGCACTGGTGGTTCAGTGGTAGATTTCTCCCCTTCTATGTAGAGACCCTGGTTAGATTTCCAGGTCAATGCACCTCATGCACAGCCACCACCCATCTATCAATGCTATGATACTGAACAAGTGTCAGGGGAGCTTCCAGACTAAGATGGACTAGGAAAAAAGACCTGGCGATCTACTTCCAAAAATCAGCCAATGAAAACCTTATGGATCACAGTGATCTGATCATGGGGGTGGTGAAGGCCTGGGCAGGGTTTTGATTCATTGCGCATGGGGTCTCCATGAGTCGGGGGCCGATCGGACAGCAGCTAACAGCAAAGACAACATTTTCCATTTGTGTGATCCTTGGCTAGTTGTTCAGGTTTTTGAACTTCTGTTACATCTTTTATAAAATGTCCCTCTCTCACTGTACACAAGTTTCTTCTCAAATGTCACCTCCTTGCGGAGGCACTCCTGGACCACCCAGTCTGAAATGGTACTTCCTGTCGCTCTCCATCCCCTTGTCTGGCTTTACTTTTCCTCCTAGCATTTATCACTACCAATATTCTATTATGTTATTTGTTTGTTGTCTCCATTAGTAGGTAAGTGCCAAGAAAGCAAGGTCTTTGTCTCATTCACTCGTGTATCCCCAGCCCTTACAAGAGGGCCGGCACATATTAGGAATTCAATAAATGTTTGTTGAATGAATGAATGTGAACACCATCAGAGTTCTATAAGGATTAAGTAAACAATACACAAAATATGTTTAGCATGTTGCATAGCATATTAGAAGCACGCATCTTATGGTAGCTAGTGGTTCTAATAATACTAATAATAAACATTCCCATTACCAGAGTCATTTTTAAAATCCAATAGTGAAAATATGACTCGGGGTAGTCTTGTTTTATGTTCTGTAATGAATAACCCAGCTTTCGCCAAGAAAGTATTTGAGGTAGCTTATAAAAATATATAAAACTAGCTGCGTCAACATAACCTACGCCATTCTAGAAGAGTTTTACAGTTGTTGATAAAATTGTAACGTGTGTTTTATTTATTATTCATATATATTTCATGGCAAACACGATGAACAATCTCATTCTTTTCATATATAGTAATGATTCCAGTGGTCAAAATTTGGAGAAGGAAGCATACAAGCATCTCTGACCAGTTACAGTGGTGTGAGTGCTATGCTGTCCTCACTATTGCTCTCGGTCCTGTGGGCTTCCCGTTTGCATCTGCTGAAAACAATTCTCGGAAAATACTGTCATCGTCTCAACTAGTGGTTTGAAATAAACTTTTCCGTCAGGAGAGTGTTTAATGTACTTATTCAACGTATTTAATGACTTGCCAAAGTCGTATATTACAGAGCTCACAGTTGTAACACACTTCCTGTTTTTTCCTTTTATTTACGTAGTTTTTTAGCACGTAGATTTTTGTGTCAGGTATTCCTGTATGGTTGTTGTCGATGGTTGCTGTTGAGTTGATTCCAACTCATGGAGACCCCAAGTGTTGCAGAGTAGAGTTGCTTTATAGGATTTTCAAGGCTGTGACCTTTTGGAAGCAGATTGCCAGGCCTGTCTTCCAGGGTGCTTCTAGGTGAGTTTGAACTGCCAATCTTTCAGCTAGTAGTCAAGTGCATAACTGTTTGTACCACCCAGGAACTAGAATTCCCCTTGCCATCTCATTTCTAGCTGCTCTTCTTTTTCTGCAGCGGCCTCTGTCCGTATTCGTCATCTCAATCTCTACTTGTTATGCATTTGTATTTCTTAGAACGTTCCCATAGTTCTTACTCTTGATTCAGTTTTTTTACACTTGTTAAATTATTTGATTAAGTAAATAAATACACACCAAAACTCGTTAATTTTTTTATTAAATTCCTGAAGGCTCAGGTAAGGGTCTTTGATTAACAAATGCTCAGAAATGTTTTTACTTCTTCTAAGCAATTTTGTGCTCAATATTAATAACGTTGAACATTATATGTTGTCGAAATTCTAAGCTTCACTCAAAAGAGTACCTGAGTAAATTCTCAGAAACATATGATGCTTACACTTGGTCATAATCTGAATCTTCACTATCTTAGTTTACAGAACAACAGGCTTAGCTTTTCAGATGATCACCGGCAGCTTGCACCATTGGAAATCATTAAGAGAAAGTTTAATCCAGCTGAACCCTAGTGAAACACATTTTACCATTAAAAATCAAGAGTAAGATTCAAAAAGAAAAAAAAAAAACAGAGGAAGAAATCGCTAAGAGGAGAAAATCAGGATAAGAAAGTCAAGTAAAGTCAAGAGTAAAATCATTCCTAAGAAATAGATACCATATCACCCTACATAATTGCTAAAGCTGAGTCAGAGCTACAAGTCTGACTCTTACAGCAAAACAAAGAGGAAAATACGTTTGCTTATGAGACTCACAGAAATGTTTCAGTTCACTTAGGAGACTCTCAGATCTTCCTAGCAATGAAATCCAAGAAGAAATTTCCCTTCTGGGTCCTAATGAAAGGAATACTGTCTAGGGAGAGGACTACTTCTTCAGCAAGTGCCTGTGTTAAATACCATAGAAAGTCAACCAGGAGACTACTTAGAGCATCCTGCAGCAGCAGTAAAAATCATTACTCACGAGGCAATTCACAAAAGTGGTCCATGAGGAGTCAAGACCACCATCCCAGCGTGTAGCTCTCAATTCAGGAATAACTTCTAGAATTTTGAAGGAATAAATTTATTTTTTCATTCAGTAAATATTTATTGTTTGTATGGGTGAGGTACTGTGCTGGGCATTGGGGAGGAAGCAGCGACAAGACACATGTAGTCCCTTCTTTCACAGAATGGCAGACTTGTTGGAAATATAGACCAACAATTACAAAACACTGAGATGTGCACAGTGAGAGGACATCTAAAATCCTGGATTTTCAGCTCCTTGGCCTTCTCATTCCCAGTTGATTTTTCCTCCACTTCATTGCAACCATCTATTCTTATTATCACAAACTACCTTGTTATTTGGAGTCCCTGGGTAGTGCAAACAGGTTATGAGCTTGGCTGCTAACGAAAAGGATGGAAGTTCGAGTCTACCTAGAGGTGCCCCAGAAGAAAGGCCTGGTGATCTACTTCTGAAAAATCAGCCATTGAAAACCCAATGAGCACAGTTCTATTCTGACACACATGGGGTTGCCATGGGTTGGAGTTGACTCAACAGGTTTGTGTGTGTGTATGTGTTTATCTTGTTATTACTGGAATTGGCACCACCCCCAAAATTTGTTTCAGACAAACTAACCACCGACCAACACTTGCTCTCCTAATTCTAGCTCCCCAACACAATATTTTAACCCCACAGATATATCCAAACCATCAACAATTTTCTCATTAACCACCTTTGTTTTGATCATATGGCCTATATTATAATCATCTCCTTGAATATTTCCTCTCCTTCTTCACACCTATCTCTTCCGTCACACTTGCCGGAAAGAAAGCCAAGCCTGGCAGAGTCCAGCTTATCCATATCTTTATTTGAAAAACTGAATATTACTGGGAAACACACATGCACATACAATATGGCTGACTAGCTTCACTTTAAATGCATGATCAAAAACCTGAACAAAAGAAGTTGTGAAGAGACTGGAACACTTATGCACTGCTGGTGGGAATGTAAAATGGTACAACCACTTTGGAAATCGATTTGGCCCTTCCTTAAAAAGCTACAAATAGAAGTACCATACGATCTGGCAATCCCACTCCTTGGAATATATCCTAGAGAAACAAGAGCCGTCACACGAATAGATATATGCACACCCATGTTCGTTGTAGCACAGTTCACAATAGCAAAAAGATGGAAACAACCTAGGTGCCTATCAACGGACAAATGGATAAACAAATTATGGTATATTCACACAATGGAATACTATGCAACAATAAAGAATAACAGTGAATCCGTGAAATATAACATGGATGAAACTGGAAGTCATTATGGTGAGTGAAATCAGTCAGACACAAAAGGACAAATATTGTATAAGACTACTATTATAAGAACTCAAGAAAAGGTTTAAACACAGAAGAAAACTTTCTTTGATGGTGATGAGGGTGGGGAGGGAGGGAGAGAAGGGTATTTACTAACTAAATAGTACACAAGAATTATCTTAGGTGAAGGGAAGGACAGCACACACTATAGGGGAAGTCAGCACAACTGGACAAAAACAAAAGCTAAGAAGTTTCTTGAATACAACCAAAAACTTTGAGGGACAGAGTAGCAGGGGTGGGGGTCTGGGGACCATGCTTTCAGGGGACATCTAGGTCAATTGGCATAACAAAGTTTATTAAGAAGATGTTCTGCATCCCACTTTGGTGAGTGGCGTCTGGGGTCTTAAAAGCTAGTGAGCGACTATCTAAGATGCATCAATTGGTCCCAACCTACCTGGAGCAAAGGAGAATGAAAAACACAAAAGATACAAGGAAACTATTCTCCCAACAGAAAAAAGGACCACAGAAACCAGAGACTCCATCAGCCTGAGACCAGAAGAACTAGATGTGCCCAGCTACCACCAATGATTGCCCTGACAGGGAACACAACAGAGAGTCCCTGATAAAGCAGGAGAAATGTGGGAAGCAGAACTCAAATTCTAGTAAGAAGACCAGACTTAATGGTCTGACTGAGACTGGAGGGTACCTGGAAGACATGGCCCCCGGACTCTCTGTTAGCCCAAAACTAAAACCATTCCCGAAGCCAACTCTTCAGACAAAGATTAGACTGGACTATACGACATAAAATGATACTCATGAAGAGTATGCTTTTTAGCTCAAGTAGATACAGGAGACTAAATGATCAGTCCCTGTCTTAGTCATCTAGCGCTGCTATAACAGAAATACCACAAGTGGATAGCTTCAACAAAGAGAAATTTATTCTCTCACAGTCTAGTAGGTTACAAGTCCTAATTCAGGGCATCAGCTCCAAGGGAAGGCTTTCTCTCTCTGTCAGCTTTGGAAGAAGGTCCTTGTTGTCATCAGTATTCCCCTGGACTAGGAGCTTTCTCTGCACAGGAACCTCGGGTCCAGAGGATGCGCTCTGCTCCCAGTGCTTCTTTCTTGGTGGTATGATATCCCATTCTCTGCATGCTTCACTTTCCTTTTATCTCTTGTAAGGTAAAAGGTGGTGCAGGCCACACCCTAGGGAAACTCCTTTTACATTGGATCAGGGATATGACCTGGGTAAGGGTGGTGTTACGATCCCACCCTAATCCTCTTCAACATAAAATTACAATCACAAAATGGAAGCCAACCACACAATTCTGGGAATCATGGCCCAGCCAAATTGATAAACACCTTTTTGGAGGGACGTAATTCAAACCATGACAGCCCCTGTCCGGAGGTGAGATGAGAAGGCAGAAAGGGACAGGAGGTGGTTGAATGGACACGGGAAATCTGGAGTAGAAAGGAGGAGTGTGCTGTCACAGTATAGGGAGAGCAACTAGGGTCACATAGCAATGTGTGTGTAAATTTTTGTATGAGAAACTAACTTGAACTGTAAACTTTCATTTAAAGCACAACTTTAAAAAAAAAAAAAGAAACACCTGAACAAAACACTCAACACTTCTCCTGTGTTGCCCTTGTAAATGATTAAAGCTTTTATAGTCTCCTCAAAGGAGCCCTGGTTGTGCAATGGTTAAATGCTCAGCAGCTAACCAAAAGGTCAGTGGTTCAAACCTAGCAGTGGCTCCACAGAAGAAAAGATCTGGTGAGCTGTTCCAGTAAAGATTACAGCCCAGGAAACCCTATGGGGTAGTTCTACTCCGTCACATAGGGTTGCTATCAGTTGGAATCAACTCAACAGCAAACAACAATAACAACAGTCTCATCAAACCTCCTTCAAACATGATTAAATAAATGGAAACCATCAGATCAGAATGTGTTCATCTCCGTGCCCACAATATCTGTTAATCTCCTTTATCTATATCCATCTTCTCTGTTTCTCTTGTTTCAATGGAGGAAGCAGAGCTCCTCCAACAAAAACCATTTCCCCTCTGGAGCTCTGGAGCCCTGGTTCCCCAACACCATCTCAAGGGTTACCACCTCTTTTCTGCATTTTTAATTTCTTTCTCATATTGGCTCAGTCTCATCAATACACAAAACATGCTACAGAATTTTCCATAGTAAAAACAAACAAATAAATCCCTCCCCTGATACCCTCCTCCAGCTACTATCCAATTTCTCTCCCACACACAGTAAAAATTTTCTACTTCTTTCTTTCCAACAGTTTACTCCAATCTT